GGGGGGGTACTGAAACATTCAGTCGCTGCCTTTCAACCTCCAAACACCGTGGTATCGGACATAATGCGACAACAGCGTCCTCCAGCTGAGCTCAACTCGTGGTGATTCACTTCAAGACAATTTTCTTGGCAACAGCGAGGATTGCCTCCTTCCAGAACGTTTCTTCTCCTTCCCCATCTAGCCTCCAGCCCTGCCCTGGGATGTTGTGCAGTCTCCCTTCCAAGTCCTGGTCCTGCCAAGCTTTAGCCATTCCTCCTCATAGCTTCTACACTCTTCACCTTCCTGGTAACCACGAACTTCCTCCAATTCATCACTGTCCATTCTGAACTAGGATGCCCATCACCGGGCAGTCCTCCGAGGGAGTTATGACCAGGGCAGAGCGCAGTGGAAGAACTACTGTCTGTGACCTGGACTCTCCGCCCGTTAATGCACCGGTGGCCTTTTCAGCAGCTGCCCCCAGTGCTGGCTCAGACTAGATTCCTTTCACCCAGACAACTGCCAAGTTGGGTCTTCCCTGTCCTACCCGGTTCCCCATTCCCCCGCTTTAGAGATCCTCTGGAACTCTTCACAGCGCAGATTTTCCAAATACTTAGTTACTTCTCTGCTCACCATGACTCCAGACTACATCACGAGTATATTATAAATATGTTAAATAGCACACCTACTACTAAGATGTGTGAGTTGTTCATCTCAAACTGGTGTTAAAAGTGTAAGAGTTGGCAAGGCTGGGTACTTCTGTTCAGTCTGCAGCTTTACTGTTATCAAAGGTACAGGAGTATGTTCAGAAACACAACAGGCAGTGCTCTCCCTCACAGAATGTAATGGCTGCTATGATATTTCTTCCTAGCGTTTTCCCCACATATGCACTTTGTTTTTGGATCAACCTGAGCCTGACATTGGCTGCTATGCTACATAATCCTCATAATATCTTATCAAACAGGAAGAACCACCAAGGAATTGGTAGAGATATTAAAAATAACAAACAGCCTGCATGACTAGCTGACACCATATCATCCATGAATTCGTCTACCCCTCTTTAAAGATGTCCTTGTCAGTGGGTGAATTCTATTCTTTAGCAGCGTATCATATGTCTCTTGAATCTCCAATCACTCATCTTTATTAGATGTCCTCACTGGGCTTGTAGGGTATGACAGAAGAGTTTTAGGAATGTGTTTCGCACCCTTCCCCAAACTTGTGCCTCAACTTCTATCATGCCATCCACAGCCAGCATAGCCAATGGGCCACGCTGGCGGGAAATCACAGCTGCGAGGCTATTCTGCAAGTTGAATCCCTGAACAGGGCAGAAAACATGTGTCATAATCCGATGGCTAACTTCTAGAAGCCCATTTCAAGGGAAGATAGGAGATGTGAAAAAACAGAATGCCGAAGGTCGAAGCAAGACCCTTAGAACGTCTAAGGGAGCAGGACATTCAAGCCAAAATCCTTGGTATAATGAGGAGTGTTATAGTCACATCCTATTTCAAGTGGAAATGTTGGGGGATATGAAGGAAGACCTTTTCATAATCTGATCTGTGTTCCTGCCTTTCCCTGGGCTTTCTCGCTATGCTCTCACTCTAGACTGCAGCCAATAATTGAGGCTTTCCTAATCACGATGCCTTCAGGCTTTTTGAAAGCTCAAACTAATCTGCTTGTTTAGGTTCAAGTGGAGAACTGAGACTCTTTCCTTCAGAACAGGCACTCATTCTTCTCTGAAAGTCTTTGTTATTTCCAAGCCACAACACACCCACAAGCAACAGTTCTCTGAATACTTGGCCACGGGCACACGCAACTGCAAGAGATCTGCATTGTCCAAATGGCAAGGCTGTTGGACGCCAGATGACATTTCGCAGAAGCACAACCCTAGCAAAGTTTCTCCACCCACCTTGGTTGTTCCTCCTCTCCCTTCCTCTTTCCACCAGCTCTAAACGGCTATGGGGACACGATATTAAAGAATCTCTAGGTTTAGACTGCAGGGTGCAGGACAAAGGACCTGTTTACAATGAAAGATCTCTGGGCTGAAAATATTCTCAAAAGGATGAATGGTGAAGCAAGCAAAGGCCTTTGCACAATTTGCTAGACAAAGGGTCTGGAGTTAATAGTTTTAAGTATGTGGGCATACTGCATTAATGGAAAAAAGAGTCCAACCATTACTCTTGCATCTGTACCTCAGTGAAACCCAAAAAAACCTACCCCAAACCCATAATCTTCTGTCACCTCTTGAATATCAGCAGAGAAACTGAAAGAAGGAAACCCAGAAGCACCCGATTACATTTTTCTTTTTCACTCCCTGCTCTGCACGGCAGACAGAATTCAAAAGATGAAGCTTTTTCCACCCAGAATCCACAGGACAGTCAAGGATATTGCCACTAGGAATCAGACCACTGGCCCATCTGGTGTGATAGGGGTAGATATCAGAAGGTCAGCACCTTCTGGAGTAAAATGCTAGACCAACGTTCTGCCCATGTGATGCTGACACTTGGATGCCAACACCGTGCAGGTGGAGGAATATGGAACCATCCTTGCCTGTTCCTTCTTTCCCCGCTCAGATGCCTGCTTGTGCCTTCCCGGGGGCAGCTCCTCTTGGTTTCCTGGAGCACCCTTCTGAACCAGCTCCTGCCTTTGGCTGCTTTGTATACACAAAGTGTTCAAGTCCATCCCTTTGGCACTCTGAATGCCAGCTCATCTCTCTCTCTTACACCAGGAAGAGATCATCTCCAAGAGTTTAGGCATTTTGATGGAATTCTCGTTGGGTGGCACAAGAGCAGTTTTCCTCTCTTAATTTGCAGCCTGAGTGGAGAAAGAAAGCTATGTTGAGCTCTGGCCTTGCACACTCAGTTGTCAGGATGCAGTGTTCTCTCTCAATCCCGGCAATGTTTCAGTCTCTCCCTTGACACTGAAGCTGAGCTGGAAAGCAATGCGGTAAGCACAATGCTGCATATTATCCTAAAGAGAGGACGGGTGCACTCCTCAGCCCCGATTCACACAACCATATACCCTGCATGATTCCTCTGTGCCCTACGAAGAGCAGTGGAAGGTATGAATCGTGTCAGCGCAGACAGCCATCCCGTGCTCGGAACAGCACTCCACAGCGACCTGCGTGTAGGAATGCTAGAGGTGCTGGCCTTCCCAGAAGCTTCTGAAAGGTAACTGACTGTCCTCGGTAAGAAGGGCCACCCGAGCTTCCTATGCACATTGAAACACAGCATCTCGAGGTACCCGGTAGCATAAAATTCGGGGGTGCTGTGCATAAAGTATATGGGGAGATAGCAATACACACACACACACACACTCTCGTAACTAGGCAGAAGCAGTAAGGTCGGGGAAATGCTGGCGATTAGATAGCGTCCGTTCCTGTAAGTCATCCAATGTGATCTGCAGCATTTCCACCATAAGACCGCGGATAGCAGGTGACGGGGAAAACTTCCAGTCTAAACCACCAGCTTCGCTTTGTCTAACTGGTGGTCCAGCTCCACTGCAACCCGTGCCCAGCTATGGCAAACCACTCTCGACAGAACGAGACACTGGCTGGGAGTCTATCCTTTTTTTCTTTTTTTTTATCAGATTGAGTGTTGGCTTTGCAAAAGTCCAAAGATGTTCTGCTTGCAGGACAACATGAAAAGACATCTTAAATGCCTAATTTGTTTGCCTCCCCCTAACTCCCCGTGGCTGCTAAGCAGCTACTTGTTGAGCACAATCCAGAAGACGGAACAAAATATCATTGTTTTCACCTCAACCATGACACTGCAAAGAGAAAAAAAAGGGGGGGGCTGGATTTTTATGGAAGAAACAGCATTTTGAAGGGAAATCGGGAGACTAAATCACAGCAGTGCCGTTTAGGTAAATCCGGACGGGTCAAAGGAGTTAGTTGCAATAAGCAGAAGTGCTGAGAAGCTGTTTAATATCAGACCCCACAAGTTACCCTGTAATTAAATGTGCATATCCCCTGGTTATAGGGTAATTAAATCCATCCGTATGCATGCCTTCACTACACTCAATCAACACATCTTATATAATTACTAGAACTAGAGATGGTAGTAGAGATAAATAAAAATGTAATAATATACGCTAGGTATTTCAGAATATTCCTACTCAGTTGATATTTTTCCAGTGACGTTGTTGGGAGGGAAAAGGGGTGGACACAGCAACAACAATTATATTAGCTTCTCTGCTTATTTAAAAAACTCAAATGCCTAGTCTTCTAGTCTTTGAACTATAGGAACAAATGATTCCTGTTCTCTTACCTAGGTTAGCGTGACGCTTTAGGGTGAATGTTGATAATCTCAGGAGAGTCAAAAGAACATCTCCAGGCCCATCTTTCTCAACTAGCCAATATGGAGAGGCTGACCTAAATGTCCGTTGTCCTTGCTGCTGGCACAGTCTGCCTTAAGATCTCCTGCAGTCCTCCTATGAAGGAGAGGCAGGAAGCTGACTTCACATAGGGCCCCTCTTCCATCAAATGAGTTACCTTCTGTTCTCTAAATTTCTGGAAGCAGCTAGCAAGAAACGTAGGGTAGCTAAACTTGAAAGCATCCTCACCATATATCCTTGCCCAGAAGTTCAAAACACAATGTTTTTAGAAATGGAAGAAAGGTTATACAGAGGGACTTGGAGCAGAAGCCTGGGGCCATGGAACTGTTTTGAGCTGGAACTGGAGGAAACAATGATTTTATCATGGATTCCCTATGAGCAAATACTTGCATGACTATCATGGCTTAGTTGTTTGTACCCTTTGCTGCCTTTATACTGTAACGTACACAAAATAGAGCTGAGGGGAAGGTGAGTTATTTTCTGTCGTATGCATGGTATTTTCCCTTTTGCAAACATGGTAAGATCCTTGAACGATAGACCATTTTCCGTACTTTGTATGGTGGACACACAGACCAGGTTCATACATGCTCAATAATTAGGTCAAATGTTGAGCTACTTACATAGTGCCTTCACACGTGATGCTTTGCCTTTCAGCAGGCTAGATTCTCCTGGCTCAAGCAGATTAGCAATAAAACCCAATTTTGCAGGTGAAATTATTCCGCTCTGTGTCTAGTCTAATGACACATTTGTACAGCGTTTCATCCTCTCCCCACCCAGACTGCTAGGTCTCCGGGTTCGATCTGTGGCTTCAGGATGCCAGCCTCCTTGGGCTAAACCGGGGGGAAAGAATAACGTGAGGGGCGAGGGGCCAGGATCGGCAGAGCAGACCCTCTTCTGGAATTTGCTCGTTTCTGCTATCAGGTCCGCCCTCTTGGAGCGATCATGCTTCTCCAGACCGCCTGCTGATTCTCTTCCCCTCACAGGAAGAGATCAATCTCAAAACTTTCTGCAAGCAAGAAAGGCTGTGACCTTGTTCTGATTTTGTTTCTGTTATGTTTATTTTCACTGGATTTTTATTTTTCTTTCTCTTTCTTCCATTTGCTACAAAAAAAATAAATGAGCAGAAATGTCTCCCATGATTTTCAATCTTTTATGTCAGACTGACAGGGGCACGGAAGGCGACCATTGCAAATTCAGGTGTAGCCAACCAGGCGAGGCGTGCTGGGGAAGGTCTTACGCATCCCCATACATTTCTCCTTGTCGATGAAGAGACTATTGGCCTTCACCATAAGGTCATGCTCCAGTTTTGACTTGTTGAGGATCAGCAGCTGGAGAGTATCCTGGGCTTCACGCAAGCGCAGCTTCAGGGTCTGCAGCGTGTCATCGATTGTGAAAACTTCGTTCACGAGCCTAAAAGGGAAGGAAAAGAAACAGGCTACTGACCGTCGGGGACTTCATGGGACGCTGCTACATCCTGAGATACCAGCGCAGAAAGACACGGGCACAGGCTCGGTGTACTAAGCCCAGAGAGACCCACTTATTTTTCGCTTCTTTCTTAATGTGATCACTTATAGGTGCTTAAAAGGATGTTAACAAATTAGCCAAAACTAGTAAGAAGCTTTCAAGATGGACAGTGATAAAAATAAGCCTTTGAGCACAACTGACTTGCCACGCTGGCGGATCCCCTCCTCTTTCTGCTCTATGAGAAGCAGAGGAGCTGTTTGCATAAATCCTCTGCATAAATCCCGCATTTAAGGATCTTTAATTTTACTACTCATATGGAAGCCTGGCTCACGTTCAGCTTAGCGTGTCCTGAAACAAAATACAGAGGCAGAAAGAGACAAAGCAAGAAGCACTCGCCGGAGCCGACTCCAGGAGACGCACAAACCACCCGAGCCTGACAGGCAACGAGGCGGACTCAGGAGGTGCCTCTGCAAACTCCGAGCAGATGAGAGGACAACTGAGCAGGCTCTGCAGGGCCACAGGTTTGATTTCGAAACGGCACTTCGCAGCACAAATGTAACCCCCGCTGGCATTCTTTAAAGCAGCAACACCTTTTCTGGGATGAGGTGGCAACCGCAAAAGGGTTCAAGTTAAGTTATGGCACTCACTTGAACTGTGGGACGTCACGGCATAGCTCCATATTTGGCCGCCTGGTTCTCGCTTCAAGACGGGTCTGGGCCACCTTGAGCGGGCATTCTTTGGCCATGATGGCCCTTTCCAGTAACATGATTGTATTTTCTGTCTGGAAGATTTCTTGAAGAGTCTGAAAGGCAAAGTAAAGGTCAGTGAAAAGAGGAAAGCTTGCCGTCTTCTTAATGGGATTCTTACCATCATCTTCCAATCCTCGTCTGCAAACGCTACACACTAGAATGAAAAATCCTTTGGGATATTATCATCTGCAAACTGGAATTATCCAAAATCACAGAATTCCATCTATTTTAGTTTCACCCAATCTTTCTTAAAATGTGGTGCTTGACAAAGAATATAGTCCTCAAAGTGAGCGCTGACCAATGCAGAATGCAGTGGAACTATTAGCCCCTAGGATTTGGAAGCTGTATGTCTGTGAGGCAGCTTAAAATCATACCTGACTTTATAACACCGATTGACTTATTTTCAGCTTGTGACCAATTACAAGACCCTTTTTCTACACACACTCTGACCAAGACAGTATTCCCCACCCTGTACCCATGCATCTGATTTCTTTTTCGTAAGTAATGAACTCTGAATGGCTTCAGTTAAATGTTATTGGTTGGTGAATTCTGGGAATTGAAGTCCACATATCTTAAAGTAGCTGAGGTTGAGAAATGCCGCTCTAAGCAATCAAGATTTGTTTCCAAGCAATTTTCTTTTAGAGGATTAGCTATTCTGTCCAGTTTTGTGTTATCTGCTCATCTAATAACCCTTCTTCTGCTTCTTTGTACAAGCCATTAGTGAAGAGTCCTGGGCCCAGGATCCAGCCCATTCTGATGAGGATGACTTTGAGTCTAGCCAGCTGTGGATGCACCAAAAAGCAAGCCTACTTTGCACTTTTTTTAAAATCCTGCCTTATTTTTTTTAATAAATAACTCAAGGCAGTGAACACACCAAATAGTTCTTCCTCCTCCTATTTTCCCCACAACAACCACCCTATGGGTGGGCTGGACTGAGAGAGAGGGACTGGCCCGAAGTCACCCAGCCGGCTTTCCTGCCTAAGGAGGGACTAGAACTCACTGTCTCCTGGTTTCTAGCCTGGGGCCTTCACCACGAGACCAAACTGGCTCTCAACTTCCACACTGTTGCCACAGAACTACCCGGAAAACTACATATCCAAAAAACACACATACCCGTGGACTGCCTAGAGATCAAGCTTCAGTCAAAGGCAACTTTTCCTTTTTTTAAAATTTCATCTATTAATTGGGGAATAGATAACTTAAAACCTGGGAATAGAACCCCTAGAGACCCTGAAAATGTGATATTGAATTGCAATTTTTAATTCGCCAGAAGGAGAAAATAATTAAATGCGCATGGAATAATCATTGTATTTAATTGTTGTTCAGTCATTAAGTCGTGTCCGAGTCTTCGTGACCCCATGAACCACATCGCGCCAGGCCTTCCTGTCCTTCACTGCTTCCCTGAGTTTGCTCAGTTTCATGCTCATGTATTTAATTAATCAACATTACTTTTAATTAAAACACTTTTAGTTCTTGTTCAGGTCCCCTTCACTTTTGCTCTATGGCCCCAGGCAAACTAGCCAATCTCCCAGTGTCGCAAGCAGGCCAAAAATATTATGCTAATTGGTCTGGAAAATTTAGCACTACGCTTGCTATGGCCTATGTCTAATGGAGCTGGACTCAGGATAAATCTGGGTGAGTACATTCGATCTCTCTCAGTTAAAATGAGTAATGCAACTGAAATACCTGTGCACACATCAAGCAAAATATACTTAGTATGTAAACGATTTCATGGCTGAGATTCAAGATTCTTTCACAGATTTGCAGCAGCATTCCGGAATGCAGGAAGTGCATATAACATGAGAAGGTCCCATATGTTTTAGAATCCTTCCTTGTCTGTGTTATATGCCCTGCTTGATGCCCAGCTTGACACACACACACACACACACACACACACACACACACACACACACACACACACACACACACACACACACACACACACACACACACACACACACACACACACACACACACACACACACACACACACACACACACACACACACACTTTTCTGTCACGATCTTAACGAAGATGAAGAACCTTCTTTCAAGTATAACTTGATAGATCGGCTCTCTATAAATGAATAGTGGCCCCAAACTGGCACAAGAACATGATCATCATCCAGGAAACATCAAACGTTGCCCCAGTAAGCTGTCCTGCACTCATGAGCTCTTCCAACGCAGTACCTCACTGGAAAGGGCTCAAACCAAATGGTAACATGAATAATTTCTTGTTCTCGTTTCTTTTTAGTATTTAATGAATCATTAAGAAGGATGAGCTTCTAACTTTCCCATAATCAGATCCCAAATCAGCAATCATACTAAGCAAAGTGTTGGCCAAGAGTCCCAAATGAAAATTCTTCCTCCTAAGGGAGACTTAAAAAAAAACAGTCTGAAGGAAGAATACAATCTGCTCTAGTTGAGATGCAAACAGGGCGTGTGTGTCTGTGGGGAGAGTATCAGATGCAGGAGGGCTGCTCTCAAGCATCGGCCCAGCAAACGCCAACTGCGCAGAGCCAGAGCCAGAACCAGAACCAGGCTGGCTTCTTTCTCTCTCCAGCACAGCTTTACTCTTCTTGTTTTGCTTTGTTTTTTGTCTTCTGAGGAAAACAAGCAATCAATAATTCTCTTCCCCGTCAGCATCTGAAACATGAACTCGGAATCCAAACCAAATATTCAACCATTTTTAAACCTCAGCTGAAAGAGTTATAATAGATACGATTTAAAGTCATATTCTGTTACTAGATGCAACAGAAAAAGCAGGAAAGGGGTGGATTTGTGTTTGCAACACAGTCAGCCTTATTGCCTAACAGAAATGTGATCCAACAACTACATATGTAAAAATAAATTCACGATGCAAAACAGTTCACATCATTTAAAAGGGTGAAATCACATTAGCAGGTGATGTCAACAGCTCTGCAGCACTGAATAGCCGTATTTCAGGGATCAGGAATCGGTGCAAAAAAAGAGAGAGGGAACTCAGTCACAAACCAGTTCGGAAGTGGCTGTGGATTAATTTCTATAGCTCTTCAACAGATGCCCTTCTCTTCCAGAAACTAAATACAAATTTGCCCACTGGCATTCTTAGCTATTTATTTAAGTTCCTTTCTGGCTCCACTGTGGGCAAAGGGCAGGTGCCAAGCATTCCTTCTTTGCAGGAATGAGCGCTGTTTTCAACTATCCTGCTTCCACGGTCCCACTGACGCACAAAACACCAGGGATGCGATGCGTGGAAGACGTCGCTTAAAACGTTTTAGCCTTTCTTTAATATTTTCAGAGTGAGGGAAGCTAAATAAGAAACAGGTGGATGTTCCTTCTCTATCTAACTATACTGGTTTAATTTGGATTCATATAGCTCTAGATTTATCATAGAAGTTATTGGGGAAAAAACTGACAAAGGCTTATCTGAAAGCAATGATTCATTGCTGTGTTTGTGACTGTTCTCTTGCTGCGCAAGATACTGGAACAAGAAACGTATTCATGCTAAGCCTGCCTGCCCACATTGTCCAACACTTTTATGAGATTTACCATTTGTTTCCTCACAAAACCTTTCTCTCTCTCTCCCTGCTGAATTTTCTCTGGTTCTGTGACATCACAATGTAGGGTGGGAAGGGCAGACCAACGATTACATGACTTGGTCTTGATCTAAAAAGGGCAGAAGGTCAGCATGCTTGGCTAAGCAGGTAGTGCCCCGTCTGCCAAATCTGACAGCCTCCCCATTTGCCCTCAACAACCATTTCGCACAGCACCCCAGTAAGGCAGTCACTGAAACAGGGGCTTTGAATCGCACAAGGGGTCACCGGTGTTCTCCCTCGATTCCTAAAGCGTGATCAATTGAAAGGGGAGGTCCATGGGCTGCTATTCCAAGGGAAAGTCCTTCCACATAAGAACACGCTCAGGAAGATTTCCAACAGGTGAATGCCTTGTATAAATTCATGTCTGTGTCTGTGTGGGTGCGTGTCATTTCGGTCTGCTCCTCCCCACAGCAGACTGTTTAGAGAAGCTCTTATCTAGAGAGTCGGATAGCTTTCCTGAACCAAAAATGTGAATGACACAGGTTCTGCCAGCCCCGGGGCAAAGAGGTTGTGGCAAACCCTTACCTTCGCCAGCTGTGCTTGGAGCTGGTTCTTGGCATCTGCTATTTCTGCTATGCGAGAGGTAAAGGCCAAGTTGCTGTCCGTCCACTGCTTCCACATGTCATCAGAAGTGATTTCCAGCGTATGGTTTGTTTCCTCGCAGAGTAAGGCTGAGTTGGCCCGGGCATTCTGGGAATACCGGATGTTGTCATCGCTAAACTTTGCCCATGTTTCAGGGACTGAAACTCTGCAGGGTAAGAATCAGGCTGTTGCTGAAGCCCACACACTGCCCAACATTTCAGAGGGTCTTGATTTGAGCTTTGGATCTCATTCACCCTCCACCTCCAGTATCTATTTAACTGTTCCAGACATGGAATGCAGTGACATGTATTTCTTGTTATCCAACTTTGAGACCACCCAACTCCTTAACCACTCTGGGCAGCTTGCAGATAATACAATAAGCTGATTTAAGTTACTGGAAGTCACCAACAGAAGCAAATATGTATAGCTCAGGATTGAACCGTGGAGTCCTTGGGGTTCTCTGAGCTTGGCTGTTTTCTTGCAAACGTTTCGTTGCTAGCACTGAAGATGCTACCTAGCTGGGTAACGAAACTTCGCAAGAAAACAGCCAAGCTCAGAGAACCCCAAGGATTACTGGAAGGCGGATTATGACTGAATGCTGGAGAAAACTTCCTAACAGGACACACATGGCAGGGGGGATTCTGACACTAGCGAGAATGTGGCTAGCAACTGCTACATTAACAAAACCAAGGAAAGACTAGCTAGCTTTCTCAAAAGAGACTGATCTCCCTGTTACACTAAAAACGTGGAAAGAAGCAAGCCAAAATACAATGGCTCCAAATTGCCTACAAACAGCTTCTCCCTTTGAAAGCAAAGTTACTTCCCAGAACCGTCTTCTCCCATCCACTTTTTCCTAATACATCTGGGGAATCTGAGTTTAGAAAGAACTGTTCCTTTGCTGGTCTCTAGGACTGACTGCAGCTTGGGAGATCTGGCAGAAATGAACGATCCAGAGAAGAGATGGGCTCAAGTGGAGACTAAAGGCCCACCTGTCTGGATGCTTTAACTGGGCCTTCCTGAAATGGGAGGAGATGGAGTCACTGGATCCTTCCAGATCTAATTTAATCCTCAATACGACAATATTTTCAAAAAGGTGACACAAACAAAGGTTGCTTCTACCAATGTCCTATGTTCTGCAACAGTCTGTGCTTGTACACTGAATCAATACAACATTGATGGTTCAGAGAGTTTAGTGTCCCCTGTATTGTTAGCCTGGGCCTTTTTTGAGATCTGATTTTGGTTCTACTTTGGCACTGCCAGCCTGTCCACTGTGGAGAAGTGAAGCAATATAGAGGAAGTTAATTAAAGATGCCCTTAATTAATGATTTTCTACATGTAGGTTTTGTGGTCTAAAGGTCAATTCTTCACAACTGTATAGCTTACACTGAACAGGGCATAACTTGCAAAGAGGAAACTGTTATTTAAAGTTATGGGGAGGGACTTGGTCAAAATTATAACACAATGCGGATAACAAGAAAGAACACTGCTGAATATAAAGCATTCCGTTAAGCACAGAGTGGTAATTTCTCTTCTCACTGAATACAGAATGATGAAAACCATCTCTCAGAGAAGGAAACAGCCAACTGGTGAATTCATGCAGCTCCATGTACACTGGAGAACAGGTCCACTGTAATGAGGAACATAAGCACCAGCTAAAATTCTTAGGGTTGACTTCAAATAATTTAATGTGCATTTCAGTCTGGGAAAAATGTTTTAAGGTTTTCTTCCCTGATTTTTGTTCTGCAAGGCAAAGCGCTCGATAAGATAGATGGCCATGTCACTTTTCCAGTGTTCAATTACCAATGAAATAGCACCGACAAACGTCATGAGATCTGGTCTTTCTTATATTCTCATTCATTTAACTATCTACTCAAATGATTATGAAGAGATAGTAGTGTACTTACGTTCCATCAATTTTTTCAATTCCATGGTAGTAGTTGATGCTGTCAGAAGTATTTCTCAAATTATAGCATTTTTCATCAATGAAATGAGCTGAACTTTTATCACCAAGATCCTTCTCAAGTGCATGTTGAGCATCTCTGTTAATGCTAGAACAAAGATTTATGTTGTTGTTACCATATTTTCTATGTTAACATTATTTAAAGGAGTCAAGGGATACCCATTAAAAAGGGGCAGGAAATTTCTCTATACTCCCAAATTGTAAAAAAAGAAAAGAAAAAAAAAGCTGAATTTTGTCCTACACTTTTGTGACTTTTACAAAATTGTAACGGGCCAGAAACTTCTCATGTGGTTGTTTACCGAGTTTCTGTTTATCACACATTCCTTTCAGTAAGAGAAAAGAGTGAAGACAAAGGAGTTTCACTACCACAACCTGTTGAATTTCTGTCTACTGTGGCAGTCAAAGTAAAGTATGTGGCTGGGTGATGGTGGTCAAGAAATAACAGTCCAAACAATGATTTTAGCAGTTGCCCCTTTGTTTACTCCCCGCCTTTGAAGGCTAGTTCTGATCTGCCATCTGGGTACGCTCCGGTTGGCCAGCAACCCAGATGAGTACAAAGTTCTCGCTACCAAAAGCTGCCAATGAACTGACTGCTGTTCACTGAAGGCAACACCCTAAAGACAATTCCTCAAAGCATAATGCTGATCTTTAACTGTTGCATCATCAACAGCACAAGTCAATCAGATCAACGCATCATCCGCCTTTACACAGAAGCTTGCTTTTTAAAAAGCTTACTTAATCTGCTGGTCGATTCTTTCTGCAAGCTTTCTCATTTTCTCTTGGCATGCTCTGATCAAATCAACCTCCTATAAGAGAACATACACACTTGTCAATGATTCTGCAAAAGTGAAGGGGAAAGCAGTTTGGGGAGGATTACCTCCTTGCAAAGGCCCAGAAAAGGGAAACAAAATATGACAGAGAATGAAAGGCCTTTGGAACTGTATTGGTAATATCTTGACGCCTGGTGACATTATGGAGACATCCATGTAATTTTCTTAGCAGCAACTCCGAAGAGATTTGTCCCAGCCTTCCTCTAGGATGCACAGAGACATTGAAAGCACATGTTGTTTACTTGCATTTATATTCATCTGCATGCTGGGAACTGTGATTCTCATTCATTTTTACCAGCAGGAATGTTAAATTAATGTGGATCTTATCAGATAATGCAAGGGAGACTCCAGATTGAGATTCCGGCACCAGAACACACCAGGCGTCTTGAGGGTATGTGTTTAAATCTGAACTGAGACAAAAGTTTCATCTTGCACCACAGATATTAATTAACACAGCTGATGCATAACTCAATGAAACCATACATAGAATTGTTATGAACTATTATTTTTTGGGTGCTTTCCAGCAAGTTTCAATGGCTGGGAATGATGGGAGCCAGCACAGTCCAATACAGCCCTAGGTGTGGGAAGCCTGCTATAGACTAATCCTAGCCCTCTTGAAATTGACAGATGAATTTTAAACAAGTCTTCTCACTGGACTAATCCTACAATACTCCAACTTTCTTCGTATGAATAGTTCCTGCGCTTAGAAAATGAAAACTCTTCCTGACATGCAGCCAGATGTTTCAAACAAGCTGATAAAATATTCTCTCTTGCACTGAACAATTTCCGGTCAGCTTATATTTCCACGAGCAAACACTGAGGACAAGGAGGAGCAGGCAAACAAAACCTACAGTTTAAATGCTACGTTTTGACAATCACTTAGAAGTTATTTCATAAGACGGATACCTGTATAAGATTCTTTTCCACATTATCGTGGACCAAGTCAATTCCCATTCGTTTCTCCCGATTGTATAAGCATTCCAAGGCTACCTGCAAGCAATCAAGACAAACCTGTACATAAGTATGGCTAACACTCCCAACTATAAGCTTTTGTCGTTATATACTGTGTTTTTATTTTTCAAAATCAATGTATTACATCCCGTCATTTTCACTATAGACTTGTGGTTTACCCTCCTCCTCCTCCTCCAGTACTAAGGGAGGGGCAACTCAGGAAAAGGCCGACATCACAAGCAGGCTAAACAGCCCATGTTCTTTCTTCTAATGTTCTATTAGCTAGAAGAAGCTAAAACAAAACTGGGCTGGATGGAGAAGAGAGCAGCATGGACTGCTACAGCAGGATCTGGGCTGCAAACCTTTGGGTGCCCACTAGAGTTTCTTCTCTCTCTTTGCTGTTCTCTAGTGGTTGTCTGGATTTTTGCAGCTCAAGTCTGGGGGCTCTAGCATGGCCCGCTCTGATCACGAGAGATAAGCAAAGATGGCCAAGCGGGGAGAGAGGACAATGAGCTCCTGTCTCTGGAGCCACCTCTGGATGGAAGAAGAGCCACGGCCACGGCCACGGCTGCTCTGAGCCGCTCTGAAGAGGAAAGCTAATACGCCACCTAATGGCCAGTTTCAATCGCACAGCAAAGCCGAACAGGGCAGGGGCAGGACGATGTGCTTAGCGTCTCTAGCAGGTGCCTAACGCTTAAAAAAAAAAGTTCACCTTTCCTTCTCTGAATCCTGGTGCTTTTTTTACACAATATGTACCTGCTCAAGAGAGTGAAATTCTGACCAATTTCTTCTACAACTGACATCTCGTGAGAAGGTACTGACAGTACCGTTAACATTGCAGAAACAGTTCTTGAGCACATAAGCAAAGCTTCCGAGCAGCTCCATGGGACCGTTTCTACCTGCTTACAGTTCAGAAATATAAACTGGCATAGAATTATACAGCAGGGTTCTGACTAGGTCTAGCAGGCATGACAGAGCTTCTTTCAAGTCAAGCTTGTTTTTCAGCCAGGCACAACCCTGCTCAGCTTCCAAATCAAGACAAGGCTGGACTGGTGCTGCCGCCAGCGGAGGAGGTAAGACCATGCTGCTCCCACAGCATCTAGAGAGATTACCCTTCTTTCGGAGCTCAGATGAAATTGTTGTTCTTGCCTTTAAGACAAAGAACAGAATTGCCATTTCTGAAGCAACCTGCCCAAGCTTTCTTAACCTCTTCTGAGAAACTTCTTAAAAGCGAATGCCAGAGACCTCTTGAATCTGTAATTTGGAATAGTGTCTCAGTCTCCCCCGTGCCCCCACTGCAGACTGCCTTTGGCAGATAGCAACAGTCATCTTTTTCTGGGGACTGCTTTTAAACAAGTCTTAAAGATTCACCTGTTACTGATTCTGACCTGCAGATAGTTTTAGAGGCAGTTTTGCATTGTTATTTCATTTTTTTGAAGTTGATGGCCTGGTTTAGCACTAGGGTAGTAGTAAAAAATACACAGCCATACTTCCAAGAGCTTGCCTATGGACTGAAGGATGCTGCAGTGCTATGGTGAAGGAGAACGTTTTAGAACCAACTTAGTTCCCGCCAGGGGAAATTGCTGGCGAGGCATCACCACTTGCCCCACAGTGGCCATGAGAGGCAAGCACATATTCTCTAGCACCCCACATTAACAGCAGCCTGAGAGCTTTCGTTGGGGGCTCAACACTTGCCTGTAGAGGCCCTTGGGCTTCATCGGCAGCACACTCCAGGCGCCTCTTGGCAGTGTCCAGCGCACGGGTATCAGTCAGCAGCCGCTCAAGCTCATAGGTCAGCTCGGACCGCCAGAAATCGATGTCGGCCAGCCTCTGTCCGATGTTCTTCCCGGTATCCTGCTGCTGCTGCCAAGTCAGCTGGTCCTTATCTTGCATGAGCCGCGTGCTGTCCGCGTTCAGCCGGCCGGCCCAGTGCCGGTACGCCTCCGACCCTTTAATCTGCATGGCGTTCGCTTTGTACCAGTCGTGGGGACTGTAGCGGGCATACAGGGACGACCTCACCGAGGGCAGTATGGTGGAGGGCCGCAACGGGGCACTGAGGCGTCCAACACCCTCGTCGTTGGGTCGGAAAGTGGAGACTTTGTAGAACAAGCTGGGCCTCCATGAGTTCAGGTAGCGATAACCTGGCAGGTAGTAAGCCCGGTAGCTGTCCTGGCTGAGGCTGGTGGGGGCCACCTCTGGAAGCAGGCAGCTCTTCCTCGGTCCACAGTAGCTGGCCGTCTGCGTGGTGCCGAGGAATTCCATCAAACGCCACGGGCAGTCACCAACCTCCCTGGCAGCCCAAGGCCCAAAAGTGATGCAGCTGCACTTCGGGGGTTTCTTCCCCTGCAGCTGAGGCTGGGGCACTGTGACTTGGCGGTGGTGTCACAAAAGGGCCCTGAAGGCACTCACTTGCCTGCTTAAAATGCCTCCCTGCTTCCCCCAGGCGCCTGGGCCAGTGTTTCTCCACCTGGGCCCCTTGAAGACGGGTGGACCAACTCCCAGAATGCTGGCTGGGGCATTCTGGGAGTTGAAGTCCACCCATCTTCAAGGGGCCCAAGTGGAGAAACACCGCTAAGCCAACCCTTGAGCCCGTCCAGTGGGTCAGGCCTCAACTGCCAGCTTCCCAGCCCAAGTGACCCCAAGTCTTCTGGAGCGACGCCTGAGCATGGGAGGTCGACCAAGCCCGCGTAAACCACGGTTTGCCGCTCCCCTGGTTGCGCGAAGGCCAAGCCACCGCGGTTTGGCCAAGGAACCACAACGGAGCGCAACGGGGGACGCAGCCACGCCACGCCTAAGAAGGGGATTACTTCCTAGGGGTCTCCTTTTCCTAAAAAAAAAAAAGTCGTTCTTTCGGTTAAAAGCAGCCCTCTCCTCCCCTTTCTTTGGCGGCTTTGCCCGGGCAAGCCCATTTAGCTGTAAGCAGCCGCTTTTTTTTTTAAAGGGGGACGAAACGAGTCCAATTCTTTTTGGTTTCCAGTTTTCAAACGGCGCGGTCTGGAGAATGAGAAAGAAGGGCTGCGCCGCGGGGGCCCCTTCACGCGCCCACGGAGGCGCGGGCGCGACTGCGACATCGCATAGGCCGCCCCCCCGTCCCCCT